ACACCTGATGGCAAGGATGCGCATCCAGTCCTCTAATTAGGATTTTGCACGACCCTTTCCCCTCTCCTCTCCCATCTGCTGCCTGCCCTCAGGAGGCAACTTGCACTCAAGCTCCTTTGTCATCGGGATACCCAGGGGCTTGCGAGCTAAAGGGATCTATGAGTGTTGGGGGGCAAGCACCAGGCGAATGCGGGAAAAGGGCGCAACCGCTGATCGAGTGGTTCGGAGCCAAGGTTAAGGGCACAGGCTCTGGAGTAATTTTGGCGCGGCGACTTTATTAGCAGTGTGGTCTTAAACAGGTTGATTCATTTTAACCATAGGGCATCAGCTTCCTCACCTGTAAAACGTGAGGCGTGATCTTACCTGCCTTCTTGGTCTGTTGTGGGAATTCAGTGAGTTTATGCCCGTAAAGCCTTCAACAAATGAGATCTATTATTATCTGGGGACCGCCCAGGGGAAACCCGAGAGTTGTCAGGCTCGCTCCGGGAAAGGTTTGTTCGAATCGTGCCCCAAGCCCTCGTCCTAGGCAGATTTAGGGGCTCCTAAGCCCCAGACCGATCCCCACGGTGTTGTATGCCTGCTCTCTATCTCTTAGCCGCCTGTGGGTATCTTTGTCACTTCCTGGGCCTCGGTTTCCCTGTCTGTACTACAGGGAGAGGTGCGCTCCCAGGGGCTGGAAGTATCAGTCACACAGGGCGAGCAAAGGGCAACTTCTCCGCAGCGTTGGGCGACGGGGGTCGAAAACTGGGATCAGGTCGGGGAAATGCTTCCTTTTCTTTGCCACTTGCCAGAGATGGCTGAGAGCACGGAGGAGGAAGAGACAGATTTCCCGTGCAACCTTGTCCTGGGACTCCTACGAGTTCCCAGAAGGCGGCGGGAAGAGAGATCTTGGGTGGGGGTGGGGGTGGGGGGGCAGGGGCAGGATTTTGCCCGCGGGCCACAGGACTCTGTTGCTCCACCATCCCTCCGGCATCCGGGTACCGCTCAGGGGACCCTGTGGAGCTGTGCTGCATTCAAGTCCTCACTTTCCCAAGGCTTCCCGGCTGCTTCCGACTCCCAACCCTCTCCTCCTGCGGGTAGCGCCTTGGCCTATGCCCAGCCGCGGCCGCCACTCCACGCTGCCAGTCTACGCCTTCGGCGCGGGCGGCGTGCAGAGGGACTTTGCGCCCTTGGCCTTCCTCGTCCCCATCTTTCCCTTTGCGTTCTTCTCAGCACTGAAGCAGGCGTCTTTCCTCCGGTCTCACTCTCGGCGGTTTCTGGCTAGCGGCAAACGGAAGAGGACATTTCCCGGGATAGGTGGCCCCTTCCGGGGACGCGACTTCCTAAGGGAAACGGAGATGGAGGGAATTTTCTAGGAGCTCTCAAGTCTGGCCTCCTGGGGGCAGACGAGCAGAGAAGATCGCTCTTTCCCCGGGACCTCCCTGCCAGTCCTAGTTCGGCTTTATTTTACCTTGCCTCTGCTATTTTGGAGGGCTGGTGTATTTCTACCTGCACCCACCCCGGTAAGTTTCCGCGTGGACTGGTGCCCTTCAGGAAAGGGATTGATTTCCCTGTGCCTTAAGAAGGATGGGATAGCCAAGAATGAGGAGGTTTCTAAGTTCGTTAGCGGCTTAGTTCCTGGGCCTGAGCTTCCTCCAGTCAGGGAGACCCGAGGGCTGGGCATCCCTAACCGGTGTTTCGAACAATTGAGAGGGAGGGGCTGGGGCAGGCTCACTTCCACCGTGGAAGAAACTCTGAGCTTAGCTGGAGACTTAAGTCTAGGGGGAAACGTCAAGCCTTTCCAATTGCTCCTTCCAGATATAAACCCATTTTGCTGTTTAAGGCCTGAAAATCTGCAAGTCTGTCCCACTCTCCCGTGTGACTAGGCTGGTGAGTGGGGTTGGGGATTACTGTTATAAACTACCCTAAAGTCATGTTGTACATATAGCAGCCTGGGCAAAGCTGTGCATCACATCTCTCTTCACCAGAGATGTCATATAATGTAAAAAGGATGAAACTAGTGTCAGTACATACTTTTTACGCCCCCCCCCCCCATGCTCTGCCTTCTGGGGGTGGTGCTAACCTTACATCAGGGATTGACAGGTGCTGAAGAAATTTTTCCAAGTTTAAGATTGGAGTCATAACTTCAATATTCACTAGAGGAAATTCACCAAAAGCTAGGGCTCTGCTGGCCTGGGTGTCATCTCTCTGTTTCTTTTCTACCTTCTCTTTAGTCTCCTTCTTACTTAAGCGTTTCTTACTGGGCGAGAAAGCCAGGTTGAAAACGCAAGGACATCAGAAGAAAAGCTATGGATACACTCTGCCTGATTAAAATAAAGTACACCTGCCACCCCAGGTGAGGTGTCTGCTGCCTGCACACAGTCAAAGGGCATTCGTCTTAGCAAAAAATTCTTGCCCCCTTTCATTTTCCCTCCTTCTATGGCCTGGCAAATGTGGAGATTGCTCCCTCTTACTTAGTTCTTGGAGATGATTGGCTCTGGGGCAGGAATTGGGCTGCTGAAAGCTTCTTTCTCTGGACCCATTTCTCTTTTGAATCAGGCAGCTTCAGACCCCTCAACAAATACATTATTTGTGGAGTGCTACTATATTCTCTTTGACCCTTCCTCCCCTAGAAATCCATCTCTTGTGCCTCACACTGATCCCAGTCCTCAGAGTGACTGGATCTCTCCTTTCTCTAGCACCTTTGCCACCTCCCTTTGGCAGTGATCTCTCCCATTGTGTATTCCCTGTCACTGGGGTATGTACCTCACTAGACCCCACTTGGAGTCCTGAATACTGTTTACTGCAGAGTAAAATAGAGACTCAAGCAATTAAGGAGAGCGGGGACTGGATCTTATGTCAGGGCTATCTGGAACTCAATCATAGGACAGAGGCCTCTGCTTCCTGGTCCCTTTCCCTTGAAGGATCCCCTCAGAGAACACAGGGGAAGAGATTGGCTTGCTGGGGATCTCTGGGCCTTGAGGTTAAGCCTATTGTTTTGGGAAGTTTTCAGTAGTCCCAGTTTCAATTGTGCATTTAAATTCTATAGAGATGCAGAAGGTCCAGCTTCCTCTTTCCCCTCCCCACAAACCTATAATCCTTCAATTCTCTGCACCAACACATCCTTCTTGAGTACCTAGTGTGTCCCAGGAACTCTGGTAGATGCTGTGGGCATCATGATGGATCAGAGAGATCTCTTCAGGAGTGTCTTGGAAGAGATGGCATTGTTATGGTACCAGGGAGAGAAAGTGATTAGCATGTTAGTGGTTCAGAGTAAATGGTACGAGAGCTGGGAGGCTTTGTGAGTAAGAGATAAAAACAGTGTATGGAGGCAGTGGCCATGTACCCACAGGCCTGGAATATCATCTAGGTTGGGAATCAGGAAGTGGCTCCCACTTTCCAGCTCTGCCAAGAGTACAAAGTGTAACTCTTGCCTGTCTCCATTCCATTCAACATGGGCATGTGTACTTTTACATCCCTGACCCCATGAGCTTCCTAAATCAAAGGGCCAAGCCAGGCCAGCAGAACGGGGACCTGGATTTCTGGCAAAGAATTTCCCCGAAGGAGTCCTTAGCAGATTTGGCTGCAGTCAGGGAGTTCCTTTGAGGGCAATGAAACAGAAGTTCACCATGTGCTTATTAGAGGTTACAACCTGCTAAAAAATGATGGGGCACATTACCTAGAAACATCTAGTTATTTCCTTTGCCAGCCACAAGCATATAATGCCAAAGGTCTGAGGTAGGAGACCATTTCTTCTTCCCTTCCTTCTTTCCTCCATCTCTGTCTTGACAGACGGCAGGGGCTGAAGTTGGGGAGGGTTTCTTCAAGCTCACCCGTCCCCCACTCCATTTTAACAAAAAGAAGGAGGATGAGAGAAACCCTACGCCAAATAAACGACTAACCAAAAGCGGCGTTGTTGCTTCGGTAGTTACTCTGAGGAAGGCTACTCTGGGGCGGGGTTGAAGGGCTGGGGATCGCATCTGAGTTGATTTTAAAACGCATCGGGACACAGCTCCAAGAGAGGACATTCGTTCCACCGTTTACATATCCTTGGATTACTGGAGAGAATTGAGCATTTGAGGACAGTGCCTCTAACGCCTGCGGCCTCAGGGCTAGGGTCCAAGTCGGAGCGTTTCAGAGGCCAGACTAGGGGCAGAGCCCAGGTCCCCCACTCCCCTCCCAGCGTGAAGGCGGTGCCCTCCGCGAGCTCCCAGCCCCAGCCTCCAGCACCCATTTTCCACCCCACCACCCCTTCCTCAAAGCGAAGAGGTGGGCACCTGGGACGTGCATCCTGCTTTTTCTGCCCGGGGTCTCCCGTCTCCTTCACTTTTGCCCCCGACGTCCCAGGACAGCGGAGCAGGACGCGGCATCCGCCTTGGGAAGGGGAAGCCTGTGCGCCTCCAGCGCGCTCAGGGTGCAGCGAGGATGCTAAACAGACCGCAACGGCCAGGATGCGGATCCTAGCTCAAATCCTTAAGAAGAATATCTCCCTCCCTTTCCTTCTGTCCCCCTTCTCCAGCCCGGCTCTGCCCTGCTCAGCCCCACTGCTCCCCAGCTGAACGCAGGAGCTCAGCGATCCTTTGCTCGCCACTTTACGAGGAACTTTGGCCGGCTCCCGGGAGCCGCCGGGAGAGGGATGTTAATGAGGGAGCGTGGCCCTGCATTGCGAGCCAGTAGGCTCCTGAGCTGCGATTGGCTGCAGCGAGGCGGAAGAATGACGTTATGCAAATGAAGGGGCGGGCCTGTGAGGAGCGGGTCCCGCCTCCTCCCTTTGGGGTTAGTGTGCCTGTGTTTAGCTCTGGGGAGAGTCAAACTGGATTCCATAGGGAAAGCCTGCAAATCACTTCTATTTTAGCAAGGAGAAAACAGAATTTCCATCCAGCAGGGTCCACCCCTCTCTTTCTCCCTCTCCTCTCCTTCTCTCTTTCTCTCTCTCTCCCTCCCCCCCTTCCTCTCTCCCTCTCTCTCCCCCCTTCCCCCCACCCCAATCTCCCTCTCTGGTGTATCTGTCTACGGCAACCAGCGTCCTCCTCATCTACACGCACTGAAGGAAAGAAACATCTTTGGTTGGGAGAGAAGGAGGAAAAAAAAAGAGAGGAAAAAAACTTGCCTGGTTGTGGAAAATGACACTTGAAGTAGCAAAGCCGGCAGCGCGAGTTGAGTCTATTGTTTCTTAAATTGCCATCAGGGCTTTTTTTTTCTTCCTGCTTCTTCAAGTGAAGGGTACCTCTGCAAAAGGAAACTCCAGCCCCTCCTGCCCTCCACCGGCCTGTGATCATTACAAAAAAAAAAAAAAAAAAAACAGCGAAAAAAAAAAGCACCCAAACCAAAAATTAACCAACCAAACAACCCCCAACAGCCAAGCATACATCTCATTTTTTTTATTTTGGTCTTTTCGTTGGATTTTCCCTTCTTTTTTCTCTGTCTTTTTTTCGGGTAATCGCTCAGTTTTGAGCGACGGTTTACATTTTTTTTTTTTAAATTTGCTTTCTAGCCCGCCTTGATCTTCCAGCGCGAGTTCATCGTCTCAAAAAAAAAAAAATCTCTGGCTGGCGTTTTTCTTTCCCTTTTTTTTTTTTTAAATATTTTCAAGGGGGAGGAGATTTTCCACAAGAAAAGGTTGTTTTCATGTTTGGGATTCAGGAAAGCATCCAACGGAGTGGAAGCAGCATGAAGGAAGAGCCGCTGGGCAGCGGCATGAACGCGGTGCGGACGTGGATGCAGGGCGCCGGGGTGCTGGACGCCAACACGGCGGCGCAGAGGTGGGTACCGCTCGGGGACCGCGGCCGGGGAGGCAAGTCGCCGGCAGAGGAGCCGGGAGGCGGTGGCGGCGGCGGCGCCGCCGCGGGGCCTGGCTGCGCTCATCTGTCCGCCACTCCGCTCTGCTCGCCTCCGGGGCTCCGCGCTCCCCGGCTGCACTGCCATAGTCGCCTGCGGCCGGAGGGCCGGGAGCTCCAGGCGAGGAGCCCACGCTTCGCCGGCACTCTCCTCTGCCTGGTGTTTGACTGTTTTCATTTTGTTTTAAGCCAGAAGAGGCGAAAGGCGTCTCACCAGCATGATGTTAGATATCTGTTTTTATGACTGCTCTTTCTTTTCTGGCTGCCTCTTTCCTTTCCTTCCTTCCTCTTTTCTTTTCTCTTTTCTTTTCTTTCTTTAATTCTTCCTGCCTTTCTTTTCTTCTTCCTGCCTTTCTTTTCTTTCTCCTTCCTTTCTTTCCTTCGTTCCTTTCCTTCCTCTTCCTTTTTTTCTTTCTTTCCTTCTTCTAAAACTTTCTCTTCATTCCTTTCCTCCCTTCCTCTTCCCTCCTTTTCTTCCTTCATTCCTTCCTTTCTCCCTTCTTTCTTTTCCTATTCTCTTTTCCCTTCCTTCTCTCTCTTCCTCCCTCCCTTTCTTCATTCTTTCCTTCCTCTTCTTTCTTCACTCCTCCCTCTTCTTTCTCCTTCCTTTGCCCCATTTTCCTCCTCTTTTCTCTCTTCATTGCACCCTAGGATCTTTTCTTATTTCCCCTATCTTGTTCTCCCTTCCTCTCCCTCTTAGCTTTCAGTTTTTTTTTTTTTTTGGTCCACCTCGAAGAACAGCAACTCCAACTTTAATTTTGACATCTCCTAAAAGTCTTCCTCACTCTCTGTCTCCACCGTCCCCTTCTAGACCCTCTCCCACTGCCAGCTTCTGGGATGCTAGACTCTTGCTTGCAGGCACTGCCCTTGGAGATTGACCAGGGGAACTTTCCGGGATACCCTCACCACTTTTTCTGGGGACTCCAGGTCCCGAGTGAGAAATGGCCTCCCCCGCGCTCCCCCCCCCCACACCCAGGTCACCAGCTGGGCTTGGGGGAGTGGGAGATTTGGCGGCCCCAGGCCTTATCGGACTCAGGGCGGAAGGGGAAGAAGGAAGATGACTAATTACATCATCCTCATTTTCTCTGGGCTGCGGACAAGTGTCCCTAACACTGTTTCCATCCCCACTGAGTATAAAGATGGGGGTGGTAGGTAGTGAGAGTGAGTTGGGTAACTGGGCTTGAAGTGAAAGTGTGTGTGTGTGTGACACGTGCGTGTGAGTGCGTGCGCCTGAGTTGGGCAGGTCGGGCTGTCAGTGACCGCCGCCCTGTGCCCCTGGCGTCCCAGCCTCTAGCCCCGGGTGGGAGCGCTCAGCCCACAGTCCTGGTCCTTACGATTTCGGAATGAGTGTGAAGATTTCTGCAGAACAGCGAAAGTTTGTCAGGACAGATCTTTAAAAAAGCAAAACAAAACACCTCAGTTCCCTTTCCCACAGCGACCACCCCTGACAGCTCTGAGTTCCACCCTTAGATCCCTTTTCTCTACATGCTTTGTTGGGTGGGGTGGGGGGAGGTGTTGGAGAATGTGACTTTCTGAGGCTGGGCACCCGCGGCTGGCAGGGGCTCATGAGGTTTCCTGGAGGATGGTTGCAGCAGCAAGGAGCTGAGCGTGTTCCCCATCTCTTCTCACCAGCCCACAGAGCTGAGACGGAAGATTCAAGGGGGTAGCGGGTACCAAGTTCCCATGCCCCCTACCTCTAAGTTGTCAATGAAGCGCTTTATTCAGCGAACGCGGGTTCACCTCCTCCAGGGCCACTTTACTTTCTCCCCACGTAGCGCGCGTCAGGTTGGAGTAAATGCTTACCGCATTTTACCTCCTGCGCAACACCCAAACAGAACTTTCACAGCGCTTCTGCGAGTTCGGGGGGCGCGCCCTGTGCTCCGCGTGGAGGACGGGACACGCGACAACACGCACATTCCGTCGCCTGGTGGGCCCAGGGCGCCGGAGACGGCGTGGGGGCGCCCACTGGGCGTTGGGGGGGCGTGGAAGAGGCGCGTGCGTACGGGGTGACAAGGGGTCGCGAGTCCGTGTCTGGCTAAGCCGTCTAACTCTGCGTCTTTGGCCGCAGCGGGGTGGGTCTGGCCCGGGCTCACTTTGAGAAGCAACCGCCTTCCAATCTGAGGAAATCCAACTTCTTCCACTTCGTCCTGGCCCTCTACGACAGACAGGGCCAGCCCGTGGAGATCGAGAGGACAGCCTTTGTGGGGTTCGTGGAGAAGGAAAAAGTAAGTGGGCACAGCGCTGCTGCCCCATGTCCCCCCGCAGGGGAGCAGGCCCAGGCGCTTCGGGAGGCGCGCTTCTCCTCCAGTGCAAAGCATGCATAACACATTCCTGCGCGGGGTCCCCTAAGACACTTCCCGTCCTGGGCGAACCCCGGCTCCTTGTCCATGAGGTTCTGCTCCAAAAAAGTTTGCACGGAGCCCGCAGAGCTGGAGAGTCGACAGGGGCTTCGCACTCCAGAGTCAAGGGCGCCCAGGATGAAGCCGCCCTCGACCGCGCGACCAAGCGCAGCTCCTGCCTCTGCTGGCCCAGGCCCGAGCCCCCAGGGGAGGGGGATCGCCTGTACGCGTCCCACGGAATTTTCTGGAAGGGAAGAGGGAGCAGTAAGGGTCGGGTTGTTTGGGGGGCGGCAGAGGGATCACAGTTGGCCGCAATTTCTGCCGCCCTCGGGCCTGTCTGGCTCCCCGGCTAGGGGCCCAGATGGGAAAGTTGCCTCGAAGTCGGTCCACGAGCTCACGCCGACCTCTCTCCTGCGTCTCTTGTGTCTTTGCGTCCTGATGCAACCCAGGAAGCCAACAGCGAAAAGACCAATAACGGGATTCACTATCGGCTGCAGCTCCTCTACAGCAATGGTGAGGTTCCCGTCGGTCCGCGCCAGCACCCCGGGGCTCCGGGTAAGGGCAGGGGGCGCGGAGAGCTCCAGGTGGACGAGAGCCCCAGCAAAACTCAGTTGTTGCCCACCGTCCTCGGTATATACTGGCCTCGCCTGAGTTTCGCCTGAGGCGGTTTCACCTGAGGAGCCCTTGACTGGCCCGTGGACTGCGGTGTTGGGCCTGTGCTTACCTGGGGCCAGGTGTGGTTCATCTACTCATGTTGGGCCGCTTTCTCCTCCTCCCCCTTGTAAGGCCCATTCCCTCCGCTTAGCCCAGTCTCCGGGCCCAAAGTCTCTTGGGCTCAGTGGGGTAGAGAGATCCTGTCCGTGAAAGGCTCCCGGAGAGCGTGCAGAGGGGCTTCCTTCGTGGGAAGGGAGGGGAGCCAGGTGGGGGTTCAGCCCCATTCCCCGCTGCAGTGCTTGGGGGGCTGGCGCGTCGGGGCGCCAGGGCTAGGCCAGAGGCCCTTGTCTGCATACTGGGGAAGGGGCGGGGGTCCTGTCCGTGCTGCTCTGGGACCGCTGGAATTCCCTGAGCCTCGGAGCCCCATTCTTTGTTTGTTTGTTTTCGCGCAGATCCCCTCTCACTTAATTCTCCTTCGTTCCCCTATTCCCTCCCTCGCTCCCCCAGGGATAAGGACGGAACAGGATTTCTACGTGCGCCTCATCGACTCCATGACAAAACAAGTAAGTTTCTTCATTTCGCGCCGCAGGGGTACTCTAGGGAGGCAAAATGTAGGGGAGTCTAGAAGGAGGCTACTCCATAGCAAGGGGCTGGGACTTGAACTCTAAACACCAGGGCCTACCGCCGACCGGGGCCCATAGGGCAGGTTTCTTAGTGCTCATCCACACATGCACTTGAGCCCGCCGCAAATGGCTCGATGGCTCTTTCTATGGGAAACTCGTACCTTGTGCGTTAAGATTACAGGGTGCTGAGTAGGGAGAATGTGGTCTCAACTTTCTTTGACCCGGCCGGGAAGCCTCAGGGGGCACAGAAGGTGCCCAGGGACCCTAGTGTGGAGTGGGAGGAACTTGTGAAACTCAAACCACCTGGGCCTCCCTCGGGAGGCAGAGAGGAGAGGGAGTGGATGAGGGCAGAGGCAGTTTCTCCAGGAATGGTGAGAGGGGCTGAGAGCACTGATGAGCCACTTCACAGATGTTGCAAAAGGAGGTGGTAGTGGCAGTGGTCGTGTTGGAAGAGGGAGCCACGATTGTTAGAGGATATTTTGCAAAAATCTTCCTGCTTTTGCCTCCAAGTTTGGCAAGAAGCCAGGCAGCATGAGTGAGCTTGTGGTCTTAAAGGTACATAGACGGCATTTTTCTTAAGCTCCCCAACACGCGTGAGTCAGGCAGTATACATTAAGTTTGAGTTATGTCTTAAAAGATACAATTATGAGCCCAGTCAGAAAAGAGGCCTGACATTTTAATGAGGCACAAGAGCATTTTTTTCTTTTTAATTTTAAGAAAAAAGTTTAGTTTCAGAATAAAGTAGCTGGTTAGGTAGTTGGAGGACTTAGAAAAAAGAAGACAGCTTTATTGGATGGGGGGGAAAGGAATCAGAACAAAGAAAAGTTATGCATTGTATACCAACTACCAGTTTAGTAAGAGGGTTAAAACTTATTTGCCTGATTGCGATTTAAACATTTTCCTTTTAAAATAAGGGAGGTGATCTTTCATTGATACTGGTTTGGAAGGCTTTAGCTTAAGGAATACACACATATTTAAAATTTGTTTTTGGTAAGCTGTGGCTTAAACATGTTCAAAAGGCATATCATTAAGCTGTTAGAAGTTTTAAAGTCAGCAAGAAAAAATTTAATAATAGATCATTTTGATTATTGCTCTCATAGTTCATTGTGAACCAAGTAGAAAAATGAGGGTAAAAACTGTATTTTTAAAATAAGTATTTATTGAAATCTATTTCAGGTATTTGCCTAAAAATTTGACTCTCTTGAAGGTCTGTTTATTTCTTAGTTGATTGTTCAGGGTAAATCCACATTTATACTTTTAGTTTTGGTCTTACTTTTTTTTTTATTGGTTTTGATTATTGTATATGCTAATTCCCTCTCAATTGGACATGTTGTATTTTGTTAAAACAATTTTTTCCTGCTAAGCAGAAACACAAAAGCTTGATTTCAGTCACTTTTTTTTTACGATATCAAAACAAAAATGTCTTAAGTGGAGTTTTGTTTTTTAAAATTGTCTTTGATACCCTGGAGACCTTTTCCTGCCATTCTCATCACAGCAGAGGAAAGATGGAAGGGGGAGAGTGAAGGGGAAATCATGGCCTCCAATACATATTCCATAGGTATTTATTAGAATTTACTTTTTGGAAGATAAGACATCCCCACAGACTAGTGCAGAAGGCCTGTCTGCTTGTGCAGCATCGGCTGCTCTCACGCTAAATTACAGACAACACTCTGAAAGGAACAATTGTAAAGAGCACAAAATAAGGACACGTTTGACGTGATTAACTCCTCTCAAAACTTTATTTTAGATCCCTGACACAAAAAGCGCCAACAGAAATTGATTTCTCGCATTATGAACTGAATAGACTTTACACACTTCCATATGGTGGGAGAGGGATCTTTTATATTTTTATAAAGCATTTTTATGATTTTTATAAAGTATTACATCAAATATCATTTTACTAACAAAGCCATAGCAATGAAGAAAAACTACAACTTAAGGCATTCTTTGACCTCTTGATATGGTGAAGTCAGTTGTGTAGGTGTGTGGGGGGGGACCGGGAAAGGTACAGTTTATTTTTAATAATAGCAGGCATGAGAAAGTCACTTGCCATCATGTGACATCTCACTGGAAATTAAGATGATCAATGTATGGCGTTCTTTATTTTGGTGGGGAGTGACCTGAAAAAAAGGTTTAAAAAAATTCTCTGAATTTAGTTTAAAAAATATCAAGAAAGAGTTTTTTGAGTCATACCTGTTTGCTTTCAGAATAATTGTCTAATGCCTTCTGTGTAGCTTTCACTTTGAAAGGCATTCCTTGCCCATTCTCCCGTTGCCTGTTGGTTGATTATGTGCTGTAAGAGTTTGGGAAGTAGGGTAGCCTCTTGTGTACGCAGTGAACACAATAGTCTTTAAAAGGCACATCAGTTTGAAGAAGCATGACTTTCCTCAGCTGTGACATAATTATTACATTTTAGCCTTGATGAGTGAAACAGTGGATTCTCATTTAGCTTGAATTATTCTAAGATAATTAACTACCAAGTCTGATTAAAAAGTTCTTAAATTTTTGATTTTAGTTAAATGTGCAGTGACCCCTTTCATCAGAAATAAGTCTTGATATAAGCTGACTAATTAAATGGTTACATCTCCCCCAACTCCCCATGAAATTCTTCTAGATAGACTCAGGATTTTGACACTTAGAATGCAGACTGGAATAATTTTAGTGATGGGATGAGTTCTAATAACATCATGCATTTTGAAGGGAATATGAAGCTACAGTTTGAGTCTTTCCTTAGCTGCTTGTTTATGGGAACATTTTATTTTTCAGATCAGAGATGCAGCTTTATGTGTGTGATGTCCTATCTTTGACTCACACGATGGGGTTAAAACTCAAAGGGAATCTTTGGCAAGCAAAATCCAAAACTAGCCGTGTACTCCATATTTTCATAGAATGTTTCTGATCTTGGGTGGAGGTAGAATCATTGAGATCAAACAGAAATGTACTCAACCAAGATGTATTGGTATGACACAATGTTTCACACCTTTTCAAAGTGTCTCATTACACCATTTTGGGTAATGACTCTTAATTTTGGGCTCTACCAGAAAGATGAAGCTCCGTTAGAAATGAATGTGTAAGGATGTGAGTCCCCTCATCCCTCAATGTCTCTTATAAACCACAAAGGATATCATGATATTTGAAAAATTCATCCACCAACTAGAAAATAAGAGGCTTGCTTTTGGGAAGGGTTGTTCAAAACCAAGTTTAGCTGGACTAAAAATAGGTTGTTTTTGTGTCATTGCTGTTTTTGGTATTCCATTAGTGAGCATGCAAAAAGGCCTGTAGGATCCAGAAGTTCATGGCTGTTGCATCCAGAAACAGTATCTACTGCAGAAGCTCAAATGAACCCGGTGGGGGGAGGTCTGAGGTTTACTGTGCCTCATTTCAGATTTTCATGTAGCATTTGAAATATGATTACCTTCTGTGATTGCTTCACTGAGTTATTTATCTTTAAATAACCTTTAACTTATCTTCTTTCCTAACATCTTGTTTTAAAAAAGTAACATTTTTATAATTTGAAGAAAGGTACCAAATTCCATAAAGTTATCATCAACAGAATACTCCTTGTCCCCAAACAAAAGCTTTTCTTTTTATTTTTTTCCTGTTTGGAAAGGGGGAAATAATAGCCACATAATCCTTGCGTGTATAGGATTGGAAGGTAGGTGGCATGGTGAGGGGACTCTGAAAGGTCCTCGCCTAGTGGGAGCTTCGAGGCACAATGATCATAAATGCTGTCATATTTCTCTTCCCAACTAATCTTTATATATTTGTTTTGATGTTCCTGGTACTTTAAGTTATTGATGCAAGTGCATTTTTCCCTATTGATTGTTTCATTACATCCTGCCACAGCTCTGTAGATTTGATTAACAACCCTTTCAGTTCATGGTTCTTCATTGGTAGATAAACACATTTTTCGTATATCAATAAGTTCCAAAGGGATTCACTAGGCCAGCAGAGAGGTTCTTTCATACATTTGGGGAAACGAACAAATAAAAAAAGGACAGGGCAAGATTATAGTCAGGAGCCATATTTCAGCAGCTTTCTCTCCCCTTTGGTAACATCAGAAATGCAGGTGATTTAAATTTCCTTGCACAGAGAGGAATGAAGAAGTTTGGAATTTTTATGCATGATCAGGACCTGTGTTTGGGAAAATGTAAACTCATCACAGTGGAAAATGTGTTGTTTGGAGTCTGGGGGTGAAAACAAAGCTGATGGTTTTGGAGAGATTGCCGGAGCCAGATGGCCTAGTACTTCCCCAGTCTGGCGGTCCAACTGCTCCCTCCTGGATAATATACAGCCATTTGTTCGGGGATATTTACGCTAGAGCTGTTTCCATGTGAATGTTTGAACAGCATTAAAAACGAACATATTAGCAGTGATGCATTTATCGAACTTGTATGACTGCACCCATAGACTGTTCCTAGGCCTTTACTTACATTGCTGAGAGGCAGAAAAGAGGAGGGTTTGGATGTTGGTGAATCTATATTGTTTATATAGTTGTTGAGCAAGGATAATTTGGTCTTAGTGAGTAATTAGAATATGTAAACACTTGGAATCAAACTAATTGCAATGATGGTAGCACCTAGCTTGAGGCTCTGTTGTGAGCATTATATGAACTCATACGTGTGAAGTGCTTAGAACAGTGATGGGCACACATTCAGTGTTTAATAAATTAGCTGTTTTTATTATTATTATTGTTATTATTAATATTGCCCCATTGGGTTGACAGAGCCAGTTGAATCTGCTAATACAGATGTAAATGTAGTTAAACCATATGAATGAAATATCTTTTATTACCCCTGGAAAAGGAAATATAATATGGGGTTGTTAGAATGATTCAGTTTTTATCTTGGCGTTTGAATAATATAAGGGATTTTATTTCTTGGAGACATAAAAGATGCATTCTAAAACTAACTGCTTTTGGTACACATTCTCTCTTTATT